GTGGTGCCCTGTATTGTGGTACCTGTCATGTACCACACTGTGGTGCCCTGTATTGTGGTACCTGTCATGTACCACACTGTGGTGCCCTGTATTGTGGTACCTGCCATGTACCGCACTGTGGTGCCTGTATTGTGGTACCTGCCATGTACCGCACTGTGGTGCCCTGTATTGTGGTACCTGCCATGTACCGCACTGTGGTGCCTGTATTGTGGTACCTGCCATGTACCACATTGTGGTACACTTTATACACATAAATTAGTGATAATCTCACTCTCGGTCTCGGGGGACCTAACATTTAATATTTTTTATTTAATTATTTTTTTATTATATTTATTATTTATTTTTTTTGTTATTATTTATATATTTACTTATATTTATTATTTTTTATTTATTTTATCTCACTTACTTCAGTTATTTTTTAGGCGGACACCATTAGGCTCTTGCTTTAGGCACTTATTACTATCTCTGTAATGATGGAAATTATGATAATGAGCGATATTTATACCTCTTTCATTGTATTGAAGCAATTCAAAGATAAGGTGGCCGATGAATGTCGTGCAAGATTGCAAATGTTTTTTTTATCGGACATATTCCGCGGTTTAGATTTTTTTTATTGCTGGCCGGCTGAAATTTATGATTTCGGTACTTCGTATTAAATTTGAAAAAGCGTAAAAAATGATAAAAGAATTTGTACACCAGAAATGACGTATGTGCACCAGTATATAACAATTTATGGGCCTTTTTTGGCCTTTTTTGTCCGCGGACATGGCCGTTTTTTAGGCCATCTGGCAAGCATGTTGTCGGGATAAGGCGTAACGCCATTTGGCTTCCAGTTTTGTGGATAATCATTTAAAAGGAGATAGAATATCCTTTTCGTGGAGTAACTCCATGGAGAGATTTGACATCTGAATTTGCTCGCCAGTAACGCTTACACCTTTTTTTCGAGGCGACCAATATTTGGGGACAAATATTCATAAAATATCATTCACAACGATTGATCATTCGTAATTTTAGTTATCATTCTCGATCTACATGTTTATCCACTGCCTTCCCCTTCCCCCCTTTACTCTCAGGGACTTTATTCGTCGCCGATTTCCCCTCAATTTCCTCATCCAAATAAAAGTTCCTTATTCCCTACCTGCTTCCTATTCCCTACCTGTAGACCCTCTTCCCCACAGGGGCGTCTACCTGCCCCCTAAATCTCCCTGCTCCCTAAATCCCCCTCCTCCCCACAGGGGCGTTCCTCATCCCCTACCTGCTCCCTAAGTCCCCCTCTTCCCCACAGGGGCGTTCCTCATCCCCTACCTGCTCCCTAAGTCCCCCTCTTCCCCACAGGGGCGTTCCTCATCCCCTACCTGTGGGGTGTCACCAGCTGGCCATCTGTAAATGTGGGGCTTGTCACCAGCTGGCCATCTGTAAGATGGGGTGTCACCAGCTGGCCATCTGTAAATGTGGGGCTTGTCACCAGCTGGCCATCTGTAAGATGGGGTGTCACCAGCTGGCCATCTGTAAAGGTGGGGCTTGTCTCCATCTGTAAAGGTGGGGCTTGTCTCCATCTGTTAAGGAGGGGTGTCTCCTGCTGGCCATCTGTAAAGGTGGGGCTTGTCTCCAGCTGGCCATCTGTAAAGGTGGGGTTGTCACCAGCTGGCCATAAGTAAAGGTGGGGTGTCACCAGCTGGCCATCTGTAATGGTGGGGTGTCACCAGCTGGCCTTCTGTAAGGTAGGAACTTGTCACCTACTGTAATCCTATAACAGGGTTAGGATAAATATAGGATTTATTTACATAGTATACTATAAAAATATAACTCAGTACTCACTGCAGTGAGTGACAGAGAGCGCATTTTCTCGTCGACGAAAATTTTGAATCATCACTCTCTAGTTGCAACCACATTTTCTCATACTAAAAGCTCGTTGTTTATTGTTACCGATAACAACGTGAAATCACGGACGGACAGACAGACGGACGGACGGACGGACAGACAGACGGACGGACGGACGGACGGACGGACGGACATGGCGAGCACAATAGTGCATTTTTTCCATAAATGAGAAAATGCACTATAAAGTGCATTTGCCTTATCGATGGATTCTAAGGCCTTTATTTATGGGGCCCTGTAATATGACTGCTGGGGCGTGGCTAACGCGGAACGAGTTCTACTGATGATGAAAAGCGGTGATTTCGTTAATTTTATAATTAATAATGATAGTTATAACAAATATTCAATATGAACGACTGTAATTTTCAAAAAATTCTTTATTGATATGACCTGGCAAACTAATTAGAATTCTAATACACAGTCTAATAAATAGTTTGATTGAATGTGTACTTATCGGTCCAATTATAAGTGCAATAATTCAACTGATGAACAGCGTTGATTTCATTAATTTAATAATCAATAATAATAGTTATTGCAAATCTTCAATATAAATGACTAATTTAAAAAACTTTACTGATATGACCTGATGATTTGACCTAGTTAGCAATCTAATAAGCAGTTTAATTAATAGTGTAATTATCGGCCCAATTATAAATGCAATAATTCACTAGTTGTTGTTGAATTAGATATTATTATTATATTTATTATATTATATTATATTGTCAGGTGGGTCATGCTGACCCGCTCCTACAGTCAGGTGGGTCATGCTGATCCGCTCCTACAGTCAGGTGGGTCATGCTGATCCGCTCCTACAGTCAGGTGGGTCATGCTGATCCGCTCCTACAGTCGCCTGAATCTTACTGCCGTATAATTTCCCATAATTTTATCTGTTCTTAAACTCAATCCAACACAAACTGCCGTGATGGATCTTTTTATCCAGTTAATCTCGTAAGAAGCGCGCATCCATCTTGAGCCATCTTTATCCACTCCATTTCTCCACGAGAACTATTGTAGGGCAGCTGCGACAACGGGTGAAAACAATACTACTTATTAGTCGCAGACATCCATACTAATCATTGACGTATGTTTCCATTTTAATCATCAATTTTTATTAGACGCGTGCATCCACTTAATTAATCTCTATCAGACACGTGCATTCAATTAATCCATCTTTATTAGAAGCGTGCATTCATCTTAATACATCTTCATTTGACGCGTGCATTCATCTTAATACATCTGTATTAGGCGCATGTATCCATCGTAAACCATCTTTAAAGGCCGCACGTATCCACCTTAATCCAAATCCATCCTTATCCACCACCCAGAGCTACCGTGGGGTAACTGCGACAACTGGTGGAACCAGGCGACGTGTGTGAACCCTTACGAGCGCGACAACCTGTCGTGCTGGACGGAGATGTACAACATGACCTACAACCAAACCTTCTGCGAGGTCCGCAACATGTCCAGGGTTCTGGTCACCGACCTCACCGACCCCATCAAGGAGTTCTGGGAGTGAGCAACTTGACCTATCCATAATTGATCTAGCCTATGTTAACCTAACCAAACCTAACGTTTAATAAAGTCAACGTGACCTAACCAAACCTAACTTAAATTAACCTTTCCTAACCTAATCTAGCCAACGTGACCTAACCTAACCTAACTTAAATTAACCTATCCTAACTTGATCTAGCCTAGCTTAACCTAACCTAACCAAACTTAAATGAACCTAGCCTAACATAATTTCATCTAACCGACCTCCCCAGCCAAATCGAGGAGTTCTGGGAGTGAGAACTGGGGTATGTGGGTGAGAGGAGGATTGTTACGAGACTCGGTTGCCTGAGTCACGGCAGGGTTCTAAAGAGTAAAATAAAATTAGGTTGACTTTTAATCGGGCAAGAAGGCCGAAAAACTTATGTCTTTAGACTACACAAAGTGGGTTATTCTGACCCACATTTTAATGTGATGCGCTTTTGGCAGCCGCCGCGCCCTCCAGATCTCCCCCGGCATCGAGGAGCCCGGGACCATCCGCTGGGAGCTGGCGCTCACCCTCCTGCTGGCGTGGGTCATGTGCTACTTCTGCATCTGGAAGGGCGTCAAGTGGACCGGCAAGGTGGGTTAGGTGGACCGGCAAGGTGGGTCGAGTGGACCGGTAAGGTGGGTCATGTGGACCGGCAAGGTGGGTCAGGTAGACCGGCAAGGTGGGTCAAGTGGACCGGCAAGGTGGGTCAAGTGGACCGGCAAGGTGGGTCAAGTGGACCGGCAAGGTGAGTCAAGTGGACCAGCAAGGTGAGTCATGTGGACCGGCAAGGTGGGTCAAAGAGGGCGGGCTAGGTGGGTCAAGTGGACCGGCAAGGTGAGTCAAATGGACCGGCAAGATGAGTCAAGAGGGCGGGCTAGGTGGGTCGAGTGGACCGGCAAGGTGGGTCAAGTGGACCAGCAAGGTGAGTCATGTGGACCGGCAAGGTGGGTCAAAGAGGGCGGGCTAAGTGGGTCAAGTGGACCGGCAAGGTGGGTCAAGTGGACCGGAGAGGTTGGTCAAGTGGACCGGCAAGGTGGGTCAAGTGGACCGGCAAGGTGGGTCGAGTGGACCGGCAAGGTGGGTCAAGTGGACCGGCAAGGTGGGTCGAGTGGACCGGCAAGGTGGGTCAAGTGGACCGGCAAGGTGGGTCTGCCCTCTTCCCCTACGTGCTGATGTACCACCTCCCACTCCCCCGCAGGTGGTGTACTTCACGGCCCTCTTCCCCTATGTGCTGATGTACCACCTCCCTCTCCCCCGCAGGTGGTGTACTTCACGGCCCTCTTCCCCTACGTGCTGCTGTTCATCCTCTTCATCCGGGGAGTGACGCTGCCTGGGGCTGCCACAGGGATCAAGTACTACCTCATCCCTGACATGAGCAAGCTGAAGAACATCAGCGTGAGTGGCATGAGTGGCGTGACTGGCGTGAGTGGCACGAGTGGCATGAAGTTCAGCTTATGTATGACGGTTCTCATTATGTATGAAGGTTTACATTATAAACCACGGCTCCCATTACTTAATAAGGTTCAAATTATGCGCCATGGTTCAGTTTGGTTCTGCGGTTGCAGGTGTGGATGGAGGCGTGCTCGCAGGTGGGCTGGTCCTACGCTCTGGTGCTGGGTTCTCTCATCGCCCTTGGTTCATACAACAGGTTCTCCAACAACTGCTACAGGTTCGGGGCACAACACCCGTTGTATCAATTACTTCCGCGTAATTTTCACGATAAATATCTTTTGAGTATTACTTTCTCGGGAATTTCTTATTCTCTCTTAGAATTATATTCGATTAACTGAACTATAAGTGTAAAGTGTTTTTGAAGAATGTTGGAATCCGCTTTGCCTATCATTTCACTAGGTCCATGGGCCCGCTTGGCCAATCATTTCACTAGGTCCATGGGTTTGCCTGGCCAATCATTTCACTAGGTCCATGGGTTTGCCTGGCCAATCATTTCACTAGATCCATGAGCCCACAAGGCCAAGCATTTTACTAGGTCCATAGGACCGCTTGGCCAATCATTTCACTACGTCCATAGGCCCGCTTTAACTATTGATCCCATTGATGCATAGCCCGATTGGCTCATTGTTTCCCTAGACCCATTAGGTCATTTTACACTATCGACCCCTTCAGTCCCCCTAGTCCCCAACTCTTCAAAGTGTCCAACCCTTCGATCAGCCTCATTAGTACATGGCGCATTGCGTGTTAACACAACCCCCTTAACATGGGTTAAACTATTCCCTCTCCCGTGAGTCAAAAGCCAAGACGTTCACAGAAATGAGTCAAACTTCGTAAAAATTGTGATACAATTTTAGCGCTTGCGTGGGTCATCCTGGCTCAGTTTGGTTTGGCAAAGAGCGTATCTTGGCTACCGCTTGTGTTGTAGGTTGGAAAGTGTGTCACTATTGTGACAACATGACCGTCCCACTTATGTTTTTGAGTGCTCAGGGATTCCGTTCTGCTCTGCACCATCAACTCCTCGACGTCCTTCTTCGCTGGCTTCGTCATCTTCAGCGTCGTGGGCTTCATGGCGGAGCAGCAGAAGAAACCCATATCCGAGGTGGCGGCCTCAGGTGGGGGTTCTTGGGGGTTAATAAAGGGGAATCCATCTGCATGCAGGGTGGGGCATAAGGTGGGGGTTCTTGGTGGTTAATGGGTGATCCATCTGCAAAATGGCGCCCTCAGGGGGGGGTTCTTGGTAATTAATGGGGGGATCCGTCTCCGAGGTGGCGGCCTCAGGTCAGGGTTCTTGATGGTTAATTAATGGGAAGACCCCTCCCCGATTGAATGGCCCTTGCTGGGGGGTCGTTAATGGTTAATGGTGGGGTGCTCAAGAATGACCCATAGGACCCGATAACCCATGACCCAAGTAACAGCTTCAGATGGAGTTCCTAAATTTATGAATATCTCAGAGTACGAGTATGTTGTTTCTATCATATTATTTCTATTATATACCGTAACTACAATGCATGGTTTATATCCTTATTCAATGCAGATAATACTTCCAATACAGTTCTTCCAATCCAGTAAGGCAGTCTGTTAATAACCTCTCTAAATTACCATTAGTTACAACAAAAACCATGTTCCGTACTGGCTTTCCTCAAAATTAATTAACATCAAAGGAGCAATTAAATATATATTATTAACTAATACCACGTCTTTAATCAATGAATATGCTTATTTAACATCACAGGGCCAGGTCTGGCGTTCCTGGCGTACCCCTCAGCGGTGCTGCAGCTGCCCGTGTCCCCGCTGTGGTCCGCCCTCTTCTTCCTCATGTTCGTCATGCTGGGACTCGACTCCCAGGTGCCTTAGTGGGGACGCGGGGCAATACTGGGGCAATACTTGGGGCAATATTTAGGACAATACGTGGGGCTATACTTGGAGCAATACTTGGAGCAATAATGGGCCATTACTTGGGTCAATACTCGGAGTAATACTTGTGGCATATTGACCAATAATTGGGGAAATACTGGCCGATACACCTCAATACTAGCGCCAATCATCGCGATGATGGTGAGCCATAATATTGAGGTTATTAAATTGAAGTGGTTGATGTTGTGTCGTTCTCTATCATAATATTATTTATGATGCTAATGATGACGATGGAGATGATGTTGTTAATGGCGTTAATGGTGATGATGGTGATGATGGTTCCAATGATGCTAATTGCATAAGTGGTGCTAATGATGCGTCTGGTGATAATTGCGTTCATGGTGATGATGCTTGATGGTGCAAATGGTAATAAGGATGCCAATGGTACTAATGGTTCTAATGGTGCCGATGCTGGGCAGTTCTGCACGATCGAGGGCTTCGTGACCGCCATCGTGGACCAGTGGCCTAAGTACCTGCGCCGCAACAAGGAGGCCTTCATCGCCGCAGTCTGCATCATCTCCTACCTGATGGGGCTGACCTGCGTCACCCAGGTGACCTGTATAGCTGCTGTACATGTGGTTTGCGGGTAGGTTACAGGTGGTTTATTGGTGATTAATGCGTGATTTACAGGTGGTTTACGATCAGCTTATTGGTGGTTTACAGGCGGTTTACGGGTGGTCGACGGGTAGCTTATTGGTGTTTACAGGCGGTTTATTGGTAGTTTATGGGTGACTTACAGGTTTTTAGGTGTCGCTTATTCGTTCATATGAGATTTATGGGGCTTACATATGATTTCGAGGTGGTTTTTGGTTGATTTAATCTGACGAGAATATGATAATATTTCGGGGGAAGTTTTGATCATTCAAGGTTGGCCTATCGCCCATTTTTTTTTTTGCCGAGTTTAACCAGATTTTTCACATGTTACGGGTTTCGAACCCCCAACTCGCTGCTGTAAACTTGGTTATCTGCCTCATTTGGCTACCATCAGCTAAATTTTCTGGGTAGTGTAACTCAGACTCCATGTACGTGTTTCTGAGACTCCATGTGCGTGTGCAGGGCGGCATGTACGTGTTCCAACTGCTGGACTCATACGCGGCAGCAGGCATGTGCGTGATTGGACTGATGTGCATGGAGTGCATCGCGATTGGCTGGTTCTTGGGGGTTGACCGCTGGATGGAAATGGTCAAGGAGATGATTGGCTACTACCCCTTCATCTGGTGGAAGCTCTGTTGGAAATACATCACCCCCTTCGTCACCTTCGTGAGTACATCGTCCGTTTCGTCTAATTCGTGAGTAAACATACTGCTTCGCCTTCGTGAGTACACCCCTTTTGTCAGTTTCGTGGGTATCAGTGAACTGTCCATATAGAATTTGTTACTGCCTTTAAAGAATGCCACTTACCACTTGACGTGCCCTCTACGCAGATTGGGCTACCTCCATCCTTATCGCTTCCATCTCATGCCTTCTACGTAATACCTCGAGTACCTTCCCCCGCAGACGGTGTTCATGCTGAACCTTGTCATGTGGACGAACCCGACGTACGTGTCGTACCAGTTCCCGACGTACATCCACGTGATCGGGTGGCTGATCGCCCTCACCACGCTGCTCAGCCCGCCCATCTACGCCTTCTACCTCTACCACGTCACGCCCTCCACCGGCACCTGGAAGGAGGTGAGTGTCGCTACCTTTTCTTGTGACCTGAAAATGTCTTAGAAGTTTTTATCTATTGTATCTTAATTTTGATGACGGGCTCTCTAGTTTAATTGAATTTCGCAGAAATTTGCATAGAATTTGCATTTGCATTTCGCAGAAAATTTCATAGAAAATAGCATGATCCATTCAATTTATCATTGAGTCTCATAATGGCTTCCCGCAGCGGATCGCTGCTCTCGCCCGGCCCGACATCGACTGGGAGGCTATCAAGAACCATCACCGCGACCACGAACCCGTCGAGAGCCCGTAGTCTGCCTGTCGAGAGCTCGTAGTCTGCCTGTCGAGAGCTCGTAGTCTGCCTGTCGAGAGCTCGTAGTCTGCCTGTCGAGAGCTCGTAGTCTGCCCGTCATGCAGCCCGTTACTTTCAAAGTCTTAGGGCCCCTTCTTCCGATAGTTCAACGGTCCTGCCAGTCATACTATCCGTTTCTTTAAAAGTCCTACGGCCCTCTTCTCCCGATGGTCCAATTATCCTGTCAGTCACACTATCTGTTCCCTTCAAAGTCCAACCGTTCATTTCATCCGATAGAAGAATTTAAGGCAAATAGCAAGTTTATGCAAAACATGGCAATTTTATCAGCACTTCAACCTTGTGTTGATTTTTCTAATATCAGGAAACGTTTCTTTTAGAATTTGTGGGATGATCATTGACAGGCTCTAACTTCCTTCATTTTCCTGAAGGACTCCATGTGGACCTCATGTTCACAACCCCTCCTCAGGGTCCCTTTCTCGTTAAACCACTTTCTACTCCCATAGTGTGCGGACAGAAGGTTGGAATTCCTCTTTATGAACACTCTGCGTTAATCACCTTTTCAGCATCACCACCGAAATCACCACACGGTTGAAGTTGTATTGATGGTATCACGCTACTTGCCCGAGTAGATCCAACCAGTATATTATTCTCTTTGTTGAATATTATTCAAATTCGCCATTTTTAGATAAAGTGTTCATTAAAAAAATAATTTATAATGATGTCCATAAAAAATCTTGTTATCTATTTAAGTCGACACAACTACAAAAATAGAATGTGGGTTTCTTTTATTGTTGATGTTGTTTTCTAGGCACAAAAGTTTTACAAATGCGAGCAGCTAGCAATTTTTTAATGAACCCCAGTTTCTGCCAATTTACACCCTGCACCACCCAAACAAAGGGGAATCTTCATCTCACGGAATTCACCTCAAGATGATCACTCTGGGGCTCAATCCTCTCTCGTTTTGACTTATCCCCCTCACGTTGGGATTAAAACCCCTCACGTTGGGACTAAACCCTCTAGTGAACCCCGCGAGTGAGAATGAACGTGCCCCATGTTCCTTAAGTTATGGGTGAACTCCCCCCGTGAATCCTACTTGTGGGTTAACACTTCCCCCGTGAACCTTAAGGTTTAACTCTTCCCCATGTGAACCCTACTTGAGAGTTAACACTTCCCCAGTGAACCTTGAGGTTTAACACTTCCCCTTGAACCCTACTTGAGGGTTAACACATGATGTTAAATACGTGAAACACTCATTAATTGCTGACTAAATAAAGATTATTTGTCGAACTATTTACGAACTTCATTTAGCATTTAAGATACTTGACACGAGACGTCCACCTGACGAGGTAGAATTTAATCTACACGAGTAGATTGTCTTCGAGAGTGGTAGAATTCACGGCCCAACTCGAGCGGTTAACGGTCCAGTTTTGGAGTAAAGTTGTAAAGTGTACACATTCTAAAGTAGATTGACTGCCTTTCTTAGTAGATTGTCAACCAAGCGTTTTACTTTCTCCTTTTTTGAAATAGCTTGCACATCTTGCGTGGTAGATCGTTCACCTTTCATGGGAAATTGTCTACTTCTGGAGTTATAGATAGTCGACTATTCAGAGTAAATTGTCACCTTCTCTAACAGATTGTCCATCTTATGTGGTAGATTGCCCGCTTTGCTGAGTAGATTGCAAATCTTACATGGTAGATAATCCCCTTCTAGCTGTAAATTGTCCACCTTTTTTATTCGATCTATCTTCCGTAGATTGGTCCCATTCAGTATATTGTCTACCTGCCATAGATTTTCTACCAGCATACATATATTCTACCTTCTACCTATCTACCAGCATACATATTATACCTTCCTCCTTCAAAAGCTTATATGGACATAGGATTAAAATTTATTTTTCTCTGCATTGGAACATAAGAGAAGCTACAAATTTACAGCAAAGTTTAAGAATACAACATTTTTGTATGTATGAATTGTTGAGTTGAATTTTACGAGTTAAAATGTTTACCGAAGTATAATTAAAAATTCATGATGGATTATTTGGCAATCGTTGAGGTGTTTAAGTTAATCGTTAAATGAATAGCTTAATTAGCAATTAAGTTTGGGCTTAACAGGCGCCATGTTTAATATAGGATTGAACTTAGGGAAGTTTAAACTTAGGGAAGTTTGAACTTAGGGAAGTTTGAACTTAGGGAAGTTTGAACTTGGGGAAGTTTGAACTTATGGAAAGTTGAACTTAGGGAAGGTTGAACTTATGGAAGGATGAACTTAGGGAAGGTTGAACGTATGGAAGGTTGAATGTAGGGAAGGTTGAATGTAGGGAAGGTTGAATGTAGGGAAGGTTGAACTGAGGGAAGTTTGAACTTAGGAAAGTTTGAACTTAGGAAAGTTTGAACTTGGGGGAGTTTGACTTAGGGAAGTTTGAACTTAGGGGAGTTTGAACTTTCGGAGAGTTTGAGCTTAGGGAAGTTTGAACACAGGCACGTTTGAGCTTAGTGAAGTTTGAACTTATGGAAGGTTGAACTGAGGAAAGGTTAAACTTAGGGAAGGTTGAACTGAGGGAAAGTTGAACTTAGGAAAGGTTGAACTTAGGAAAGTTTGAACTTAGGGAAGTCTGAAATTAGGGACGTTTGAACTTAGTTGAGGTTGAACTTAGGGAAGTTTGAACTTAATTTTTTAGGCTGAGAATTGTTTTTTTTTTGCAGCAACTCTGCGTTTTGAGATACACAAACGAACAACGAATAATCGTGTTTCATTTCATACCTTCTGTCGGTCGTAAGTGGTGCGATAGTCGTAAGTGGTGCGGTGGTCGTATGTGGTGCGGTTGTCGTAAGTGGTGCGGTGGTCGTAAGTGGTGCGGTGGTCGTAAGTGGTGCGGTGGTCGTAAGTGGTGCGGTGGTCGTATGTGGTGCGGTTGTCGTAAGTGGTGCGGTGGTCGTAAGTGGTGCGGTGGTCGTAAGTGGTGTGGTGGTCGTAAGTGGTGCGGTGGTCGTAAGTGGTGCGGTGGTCGTAAGTGGTGCGGTGGTCGTAAGTGGTGCTGTGGTCTTCTATAAAATCACGTTCACTGAACCCTCAATACTGGAGCCAAGAGACGCGTACCAATACTGGTGCCAAGAGACGCGTACCAATACTGGTGCCTAGAGACGCGTAGCAATACTGGAGGCAAAACATGTGAAAAAATAGTTGATGTTCTCTGCTTGTCGCCCTTCTCCTAAAAATATTTTTATACACACAATGTTCCACATTTTGTCATACTACACATGCAAGTGAACACACACAGCAAACACACAGCTGTATGTCATAAAAGTCATATTCAAACCGCACAACAGGTTTATAGTGACTGTAATCACACAGAAATATACCTCTTTGTCCCAACTGCGACGTTATTTTTACATTTGTATGGGTCATCCTGACTCAGTTTGGGCCAGCACCAGAGCTTATCAGTGCTAAATGCATGTAGTGTGATCTGTTTGAACAATTGTAAAGATCAGGGGCCATACTTTCAAAACTCGCTAAGTGAACGTAAGTACTTATATACGCTCTATTTTCTTGTCTATGATTGGTGGATTTAGCTTGAAAGGCTGTCAATGATTGGCTGATGAACTTATGATCTCTTGACTTTTTTCGAAAGCATAGGCCCTGGTAGCTAAAATCCGATCAAAAATTAACGAAATACACAGAGGTTTAGGAGATGCTTAGTTGATTACGGCCATCCAGTTTATGGTTTACAGAGATTGAGCTGGTGATGAACTCACATGAATAAAATTCATCTTACCAAGTTGACCAAAAATTAGCCTATTTCTATGGTGGACTAAATCAAGAAGATAGGATGGTTGCTACACAATAACCAATACATTTCTTTGTGCGAGTTCCAGCGATGTCCAGTTTAAAAGAACTAACGTTGAGTATTCAACTGTTTCAATGAATTACGTGTGTTTTACTAATTTTCTTCTATTTAGTCATTGTGGCGGAGAATTTATAATTTTACACCGATAATTGTTGCGTAAACAAAACTTAACGAATCTAAATCTGCTTTTTTCATCCTAGAAATCAACAGCGCTGTGTTGCGGGAGCTCGAATTCCTCGTAGACTTTTACTCTGTGGGGATCAATTTTAGATTTCGTCTCTCAATTTCAAAAAAATTTCGATTAGTATCCACTCAAATAAAATTAATGTAATTTTTCTTCTATATTTCGACACCGCTTGACCGCTTTTTCGATACCGTGAAACGCGCTCCGCCAGACGCATATATAAAGAGCGTCCATCAAACGCATAAAATTATTAAAAACTACGACTTGTGAAATCAACCGAACTTAAATTTGCTGCACGAACTAAAATAAAATTTGTCGCACCAAACAAAACGAAATTTTGCTCAATAACCATGATCCTCGAGGATATGTACAATAGAACATGCGCAGTCTTCTGGACTATTTTCAGTGCTCCAAAACTAGTCCAAAAAGCGCCTTTAACTGGTAAGCAGACGCTTGGGCTCCTGTAGCCCAAAAATTACGCATGGCGGAGACCGAATCAAACCAGAAAAGGCCGAGAAAATTAATGATTGTGTACTAAAACGATCGTGTCAACAAAATGTGGATGAACTGAAACAGGATAGAGCAGGGCCAATTCAAGTGTCGTTCCATGGACGCCATCGGGATGAAGAGAATGAAGAAACGCAGGACTGAGAGGAAGAAACGCAGGACTGAGAGGAAGAAACGCAGGAGTGAGAGGAAGAAACGCAGGACTGAGAGGAAGAAACTCAGGACTGAGAGGAAGAAATACAGGACTGAGAGGAAGAAACGCAGGAGTGAAAGGAAGAAACGAAGGACTGAGAGGAAAAAATGCAGGACTGAGAGGAAGAAACGCAGGACTGAGAGGAAGAAACGCAGGACTGAGAGGAAGAAACGCAGGACTGAGAGGAAGAAAGTCGAAAAGTTTATCCTGTTGGCCGAAGCAGCGCTATAGCAGGCGTTGGGGAGGAATACAAAAAATATTATCATATTTTCTTTGAAAATTCGCTTATTATAAAATATTCGCATATTTTACAATCAAAACTTTTGTCTTTGTAATAAGATTAACTAAAATCAAATGCTAAATTTAATTAAAGAGTCCCGCATTGCTAAGCTGATTCGGTCATAATAACATAACATATTCTTAGATTATTCTGTCCGACTTCCTAAGCCCAAATTCAAACACAATATGAATGAGAAAATTCTATTGCAAACGATGTATAACGACTAAGCAAAGTTATTCTTCATTGCAATGTTGTGTGTAGGCTGCAAATTCCCTGCTTGCATTCAGACCGGAGAGATTAAGTATACTGGTGCTGAGGTAGGCCGAGGCTTGTAGTACAGTAATAGCTGTGGGGCGAACCCGGTTTGCGTACTAGTGCCTCGCTTATAGAGGATTACCTGACAGTCGCCTAGGATCAAGAACTTTGTCCCTCAGCTAGCTCGCAATCTCTCTCCTCCGCGTCTTAGTTCCGTAGTAGGCTACTTGTTGAATGTGTTATTTAATCTACTACTTCGCAGCCAATTGGGCAGCGATTTACCAATTCATCATCCGGTCATTGGTAGGTGGGTTAAGGATGGTCAATGCGAACCGTTAGGGGAGGTTACCGGCTGCTCGGTGGTCGTAGGCAGGATTTTTACATTCACGCTACGTTTATTTCTTCATATGCACGACCGTTGATGCTAAAAAGTAACGCATGTTTATGTTACCGTGATACCGAAAACGTACACGGGATTATCAAGGTCGTCTGACTATGAAAGACGAGAGTTCGGCACAAACAGGATACTTGGTCTCTTTCAACACTTAGACGTTACTGACGATGCGCTGGCGGTGTGGGCAGCTCGTGACGACCGAAGATACGAGGTCTAATCACCTGTTGTCTTTGGTGACAACGAACATGTTGTAGGGTAGCCTGATCATGAGGTCAGACAGCACGCCAGACCTAATCTGGCAATTGTAAATGAGGACCTGATAAAAGTATAATTTCGGTGCCAGTAAGGAAGCCTAGCCCGTCCATACTCATCTTAACCCAGTAGAGATGTTTTAAATTCTTGCACCAGGTGATGATCGGTACCAAGCCAATTTCTGTGACATCGCGGTAATCCTCTATGTACATGTTCGACAAGCGTGGACTAGAGCGAGACTAGAGATCATTTTGTCGTGTAAACTTTCACATGAAATGGAGGTAGCTCTTGTGAGATGGTCGAAACGTATGAGTGGCCAAACGTTGCGCACGGTGCCCGTGAAGGGGTATGAAATTTCCTGAAAACACGAACTCCTGAGGTTAGGTATGGTACTTAGCATACTGAAACTGCTGAGGAGCCTGCAATGTGAACGTGCAAGGAAGCAATTTTCCAGTAGCGTGCATCGAAAGATTTAGTTAGAAACATCTTCGGAGAGATAATCAAGGCTAAGGTTCCTCAGCGTAGATTGAACGGAACGCAATAGCCGTGCGAGCGAAAATTCGTGAATATAATAAGGGAGGTGGATGAGATGAAGTGTTTCAAGTTTTGGTTGGCTGTTGGCAGGGGAGAGCACGAATGCCAAGGCGACCCTAGATTAACGTTCAATTTGAAGAACTTTTAAGTGCTTCAGGTAAACGAAGGGAACGTATTCATAGCCATCACCACCGTTTATCTCGTACAGGCACAGACTCGTTATCAACGTACGTCTGATAGCGAGCGCTGATACAGATCCTGAGAGGCTGACAGCCCAGCTCCAGAATCTCTAATCTCGGGGAGTTCTCCGCTAGCTCCTGTAATATAGGCTCGATTTGATGGTCTTTGGAGTAATACTTGAACGATCACAGGTGAGGGGTTTGACCTACCAACTCTTCAACAAAGTTGTTGAATGAACGAAGGCCACCAAACCCAGTGCCGAACCCAGTGCCCAGTGCCCAGTGGCCCAGTGGTTAAGGTTCAGAGTACTAGGATTGGAGCAGAGAGGCGCGGGTTCGATCCCAGCTCTGTGCGCCAGTTTCTGGTCAGAATCGGCAAGGAGGCCGGGCGGTTAAGCACAGCAGAATGGAAGCAGTGAGTTGCGAGTTCAAGACCGCGATATGCTGTGAATGTTCTGCGATGTTAGAATCGGCGACAGGCCTACGGCCTAATAAACGCTGAAACCGCTATTATTATTATTATTATTATTATTATTATTATTATTTAGGTCCGTCAACAGAGTTTAGTCACACGAGACGGCATGCCAGCGCCTACACACAAGCCTGACATATCGTATTATATCATACGAGGAAAGATTTGGGAATATTTTGAACAGCGTCTTGGTGCACGCGGTTTCTCACCCCTTCGAACATCTTGGCTGGCCCGTCATGTATAGTCACTGTAACCCATTAAATTAAGGAGATAATTGCTGAAGCTTAACTTAATTGTAATCAGTATTTCAAATTCCCATTACCTATTCATTAACTTCGAGAGGTTCATCTGTACTTTGATTGGCAGGCTATTATAGTTTCTTGCACTTAACCTTAACGCATAAACTTAGTATGAAAAGTCAGATGTTCTTTGTAGGGTTTGCTGCTGTTATTTTGGAACTGTGTCCACCTATAAACTTAATACAAGCGATTCGCAATTTACCGACCACACATTAACTACCCACGGATGCCAACTACAGTAATTAACCGTGAACTATCTACCTAATAGCACAACGTTGGTGCACTTATTTTAATTTAATAAGGTGAACTTCTCTATGAAATATTGAGAATTGAAATCCTCAAAAAAACTCGCAGATATGAGCTCTCATCTCTTGAAATTTAACGTAATGTTATCCTTGTCCTGTATGACTACATCAAACCTCCAAATCACGGCGTTCATTGAATTGGTTTACATGGATGCGGAATTTTTGTGGTTGCCTCAATGAAATACACTTCCTCTTGTACCCCTGGAGATATTGAATAAAACAAATTAAATTACCTTTATTCACGTCTTCATCTAAAAACCTTTGTAATTCTTGAGAAAGGAAGTTCTGAAGGCCTTGACTATGCGTAGGAAAAATTAAGCCTACACCTCAAGCCGCAAACACAGTCATGAGCCTAATGCCGCAGGTTGATATTATTTTGCATCTAGGTCTGCAAAAGGTAGATACCATTACGTATAGTAATAAATCGTAGTAGTAATGAATTCTAGTTTAAACCAGACGAGGTTGCTTAATAACATGACAAATATATCCAGCGTCTCCACACCGCACCGGAGTGTACAGTGTCGAGACCAAAAGTGACACGTGGCGACTGAGCGATCCTGAAACTACTCGGACGAACAATGCTTCAAACCCGTGATGCGTCAAACCTGTGACTACAATTATTGTGAATAGAACGTCACGGCCGCGATTTATAGCTTGAAGACAATTTTTAGATGCGAATATATGTCATTCTTTTCACTTCCCGTCTGGCATTTCTAATTTTATTATAATATAGCGAATTCGTACAATATAGCGAATTTGCGTAAATACGCAGAATTCGCAAATCAGGAGATTTATAATACGTTTTGGTTCAGCAGATTTATAACACGTTCAATTGAAAGATAAAAGTATGATTGACGTGGCTGGGCTTAAACAGTGAATACTTAGAGTTGAAGAAAATTGGACCGACAACCGTGCAACACCCTCGGCTTTTTCGAGGAGAAAAATCGTGTTTCTGGCAGCTAACCATTTCCGGGCTTGCGATCGCCTAAATTACAACTAATTCTATTACAATTTATTCAGTTATTTTTGAATCGATTCGAATCTCTGCATTATGTAAGAAATTTTAGCTAGGATCAACCTGAATTTGCAGGCAAGTTTGCGCGATTTCCTCGCAAGAAATCAAGATCGAACCAAACAGAACAGCGCCACATCACAGAATTGACAACGAATTTTAATAATTCATTTCGTAGATAAAATTGGGCAGTTCATTTCAAAAGAGAGTTAATTGAACACGTAAAGCTGTTTCAAAACTCGATTTCCGCCATAAATTAGTTTTTTTTGTTCATACTAGCGAAGTTGGGACTAACAGGTAAAGGCCTAAGTAACAACATTGGGTAAAGGACTTGGTTATATTCATGAATACGTTGTTACACCAAGACACACCATAAATGCAATCGTTCACAAAACGAAAGAAATAACAAGGAACTTTGAACTTTTGACAAAGGAGAGACAGTGGCCGTTCTATCAAATATAGATAGTTACGGGTTGCTAACTCCTTCAGCCAATCACTGATAGCCTTTCGTGTTTCACGCACCAATCACTGTTCGACTTTCAAGTTTCACTCACCTCTCACAGACGACAAAAATCAGCCACCACGGGCACCTAAGCGTGCCCCTACCCAATGAAAATTACAAACGCGACAGCTTTTGATTTGGATTACCAGAAGCTGGAGCGACTCTGAATTTTGTAAGGATATTGTATGGCCTCTGATCATCTAGATTCTGGCGCAGGCCACTTTTTATCATGCAAGAGACTACATCACACAAGGCACAGCACGGCAACCGTGAACATTATTCCCATTATCGCTAATATGCTAATTATTCATTAACGTTATAAATACATGTTACTCCTGTAATTTTTCCCCGGACAAAAATTACTCCTGTATCGAACGCTCAATCGACAAATGAACCCTGGACAAAAATATTGCAGCTCTTACTAGTTTTCCTAGCTTTAAATTCCACCCTAGCGGACTAAAAGTTATCAAACAAGAAATTAAGATTAACAAAGAATTGATATCTCATTTAGTGAGGATAACTTGTCCTGCTTATGATACAATGTTAACAGTGTTTACGGTACGAACGAATAAAACTCGAGTGTGTCCGTTAATCTCCCAATCAACGCTATGACTACTTCCATGTTGCTGTCTTTTGAGAACTGCATTGCAAGTGACTGTCATTGAAACACGAATATCTTAACGACCATCCATGCCACTATCCTTAAGACTATCTTCACGACTATCCTCACGACTATCCTTAAGACTATCCTTAAGACTATCTTCACGACTATCTTCACGACTATCCTTAAGACTATCTTCACGACCATCCTTAAGACTATCCTCACGACTATCCCTAAAACTATGTTCACTATCCTTAAGACTATCCTCACGACTATCCTCACGACTACCCTCATGACTATCCTCACGACTATCCTCATGACTATCCCCACGACTATCCCCACGACTATCCTCACGACTATCCTCACGACTATACTCATGACTATCCTCACGACTACCCTCATGACTATCCTCACTACTATCCTCACGACTACCCTCATGACTATCCACACGACTATCCCCACGACTATCCTCACGACTACCCTCATGACTATCCTCACTACTATCCTCACTACTATCCTCACGACTACCCTCATGACTATCCTCACTACTATCCTCACTACTATCCTCACGACTATCCTCACTACTATCCTCATGACTATCATCACGAGTATCCTCACGGCTATCCTCATGGCTATCCTCACGGCTATCCTCACGATTATCCTCACGACTATCCTCACGACTGTCCTCACGACTATCCTCATTACTATCCTCACGGCTATCCTCACGACTATCCTCACGACTATCCTCACGACTATCCTCACGACTACCCTCATGACTATCCTCACTACTATCCTCACTACTATCCTCACGACTACCCTCATGACTATCCTCACTACTATCCTCACTACTATCCTCACGACTATCCTCACTACTATCCTCATGACTATCATCACGAGTATCCTCACGGCTATCCTCATGGCTATCCTCACGGCTATCCTCACGATTATCCTCACGACTATCCTCACGACTGTCCTCACGACTATCCTCATTACTATCCTCACGGCTATCCTCACGACTATCCTCACGACTATCCTCACGACTATCCTCACTACTATCCTCACGGCTATCCTCACGATTATCCTCACGCCAATCTTAGCACCAACCCTACGGATCTGCGCTACCAGGCTGTGGAAAATCTATACCTTATTTTACTTATTATTATATTAAACTTTGTCTCGAATTTTTTTTTTTCAATTTTCTGATACGGTGTTTCATTGCTTGTGGACTTGGGGTGGTTCTAGTCTGCACCATTCCTGCTCTCCTACACCATTCCTGCTCTCCTACACCATTCCTGTTCTCCTACACCATTCCTGCTCTCCTACACCATTCCCATTCCTGATCTCCTACACCATTCCTGCTCTCCTACACCATTCCTGTTCTCCTACACCATTCCTGTTCTCCTACACCATTCCTGATCTCCTACACCATTCCTGCTCTCCTACACCATTCCTGTTCTCCTACACCATTCCTGCTCTCACAATAACCTGTTCGTTGTCACCGGAGACTAGACCTCGTATCTTCGGTCGTCACGAGCTGCCCGTCCCTGCACCGCCAGCGCATCGTCATTGACGTCGACGTGTTGAACGAGACCAAGTATCCTGTTTGTCCCGAGCTCTCTTCTATCATGGTCAGACGACCTTTGTAATCTTGTGATTATTTTAATTCTATCTCGGTAACGTAAACGCTTTTTATTTTGTCGCACCAACTGCCATGCAAATGAAGACATGAATGTTGGATTAGGAATGGCAGGATTTAATCTCTGGGTTTCGTCTGAAATGCATTTTAGCTTCACCGCGAGCTTGAATTATTGCTTAAAAATCTTATCAAAAGAATGTAAGAATGAGTTATGCTGCTGCGACTGATTCTGCCCAGCAAGAAACGCTAAACGATTTTGTGTTTCAGCTTTGATAATTAGTAATTCCAAGACAATTGAATGCAATTTAACAGTGTGTAATAGTAAATTATAAACACATAACCTCCTGAACTTTCACTGAAGACCTCTCCGATCCGCATGTGTTGTTACGGCGTAGTATCCTTTGGCGGACGACAAACGATGATTGACGCTGCGGTAATCAACTAGTGATGCATTTCTGTGGGCAGTTGAAGTATTTCTAAGCCGCGATTGTTGTGACCAACTGTCATGGCCGCCGCGCTGCTGGTGTCGCTGAAAACGTGTCGTGAGGCGGCGCAGATAATCTGCTTTGTCCCGTGCGTCCTACGCTGACGACTACGACATGCTGGAGTTTGCCATCGCACTCGCTTTCTATGAAATCATATATGACAGCGAATAGAAAACGATTTAGAGTAAAAACTAAAATGTTTCTACTCAGTGAATGAGATATTTTTAGTATTATTTTGATATGAATAAAAAATTTTAAAATGTAGCCATTGTTGATGAATATGGTTATTGCGCTATCATAAAATGCAGGAGTAAAAAAGATTGATTGAAAATTGTAAGGAATTAGACATACAAGTTAGATACAAGTAAGCTGTTGCATGATAATTGATATAAATCTTAGCTGTCTTCATTCACATCCAAGTAAACAACCATTGGTTGGCCGCATGACCAGCTACTGAGCTACAGATCGCCATTTGCTGTTAGCCTCTGAACACTACCCTGCTACACATTGTGCAATTCGGAGAGGTATTAAATTAACCAATACACAATTACACATAGTATATTTGAAAGCTGGACTTGATACTTTAGAAAGCAGAACCTGAAAGCTTAAAAAGACCTGGAACTTTCCACTTTCAGTCCATTATATAGTACATATCTATAGATGATATCCCTTTCCAGCTGTGATTGGTTGGTGGGATTGTGATGCCATCCTTCCCAGCTGTAATTGGTTGTGCCCATGTATGGTATGTGCACTGATTAATTTAATTATTAGACTAACTTAACTAATACCTACCTGACTTGAACTCAATCGTTACAAACATGGTCTAGAAAATTTTCAAATAATCCAATAGATAAAAAAATGAAAAATATCAATCAAACCAGAAACAGCTAAATAATTCTATAACAAATCTGAGGTACTACACAATTGAAACAGCTTGTCCACTTATGATCCCCCTTTCCCTTCATAGTCAGTAACCTGGCAAAGCGCTGTATCTAGGGAAAGCTATACACCATGGGTCATGGGTGCAAATCTTTCTTATAGGTTAACTTCCATTCTTAGATTTCCACACTGCCTGAGCTATGTGAGGCCAATTATTCTAAAATTAGTGGTGGTTAGTAATAGTATTAAGCAGAGAAAATGGCTGTTACAACTGGAAACTTTGAAATGCACTTTATTTAAGAGTTGGCTCTACCTATTGATAAGTATGGCTGTATTGATGAGAAAGCAGGCTTTTTCTGGTCCATTAAATTTGCTTTCATTCAAGAGATGGACATTAGCTTAGCGGTATCATTTTGCATAATGAAGAACTTGCAATGAATAAATTGTTAATAAAATGTAAATATGAGGAAATTTTATAGTTCATATTTGGTTTTAGGATATCTCATCTCAGTATTGTCCCAGAATTCAAAAGTTGTCCCAATTTTTATACCTGATTGGGATGAAAATTCTTGTCTAGTGTTGTCTAAAATAAAGGAGAACAAGAGGCAAGAGTCTAGTTAACATTCTTGACTGATACATGGAACAAAAATTATTAAATCAATATTTGAAACAATCATACCGAGGCATTATATCACTTTGTGTGAATGTGTATAGTTGAATGAGGTGAGGAATGTCATACCTGTGTATGGCATATGCTGATGCACATTTTCCACAGTAGTATTTAGGAACTAGAAATTATCACAAATGCACAGGAGAAATATCTTCATATCTATTGGAGGAACTGATTTTAAAATTATTCACAACATAACCTGATGATTAATATTTGATGTGTATTACAGTGATTTTTTTTAGGACTAAAAATTTCTATCATTAGGAAAAATCTCATTGCATCGCTTTGTTATGATTTTCATGATTTGGGTAAAAACCAGGTGTGGCAAAAACCCATTCATCAAGAAGATATTGCAAGTAAATTGGAGTAAGATTGCTTAAAGTGAAATGTAGATTAAGTTAAAACACTGCATATTAATGTTCAAAGTTCATCCAACTACAATCAAAAGTTACATAAGCTAAACAAGCCATGGCTTACACCAATAAACTTAAGTATTGCTAACCGAAAGTAAACAAAAGTCTTGAAATTGTTATTAGATTTACATTGCAGTTTATATATGACAATCTCCTCCTTGATCAAAGCTTTATGGTGAATTGGATGACTTGAAAATTTGAATTTAAGTTGAAATGATGGAGATGGTTAAAAATTGGATGGGTGATATTGATGTATCAGTTGGGTAGAATATTGGATTCAAATCAAGTGGACAATTGGCCAGCCAAGCAAGTTTGCGAAAGCATATGTAAATATAGGCATAGGTTAAACCAAGAGAAGAGCCATGCCCCAACAATTTTTGGGAAAAACTTGCCAGCAAATATTGAAAGTTTGTTTAAAATTGAGAATTCAAAAAGGAATTTAGAAAGTTGCAGTTCAAACTAATAATGAAGGTTTCTGTCCTAGCCATATACATCTTTGAACAAATAATTGAGAAAGATTTTAATTGTTTTAAAAATGGTTCAATCATAAAAATATTTAAAAAAATGAATCCTAAATATCTGTACATTTCTAATTAATTTTGCCCATGACTTACAAAATATCAAGGCTTAAAATGGAATTGTAAAGCTTATAACGTCTTTCACAAGAAATCATGAAGGTGGCTTTGATTAAATGAATAGTCCTCTTTAAGTAAACAATAAATATAAAGGTAATCTATATAAATGTATATACCTCGTTATAGGATAATTAAAATATAATTTTCAATTTAAATAGGTTGTAAAATATGGTTTCTTTGCAGTTTTATCTGTATTCTGTAGTGCTCCTGTCACTGTGCTACCGTCAACCGGGGCTACTCGGGACGATTTCGAACATTTTTCATTCATAACTTCTTACCATGAAACATTTCATAAACAAGTTTAGGCTCATTTCAAAGCTCTTTGCAAGGGCTATCACATGGCTTCTCCAAAAAAATTCAATATGCTATTCGTAAGGTGCCAGAAGCAAAAAAATAGTGTCTCGAGTAGCCCCATCGAACGGGGCTACTTGGGACACTTGGAATGAAACTTCATTTTAAAACATTTGAAGCGTGCAGAGTGTACTCATCCATTACTAACAGTACTCTGAAATCCTCCTCTTTCATTGTAGATGATGTAGAGGTAGAATAAATGACAAAGTCTGTGATTTTTACTTGTTTTTCCTCTATTGCTACATTATCATATACATCAATTACCGTATTACTGATGCGATATTACCGTATCTATGAACATGCTATTGAGCATTTACAACAACCTTGTCCACTGCAAGCTTCATATCAGCAGCCTTATAGCATTTTTTCTGTATCTGTAAGCTTACAGGATGGCTTGTAATTTCACACCATTTTAATTGGGTTGAGTGAATTTACTATAAAAAAAAGATTGTGAAAAACATACCTGAAACAGAGAGGAATGTTTTAGTGACAACCATCATATGTTTTGGGGAAATAAATCATAGTTTAGGTCAATTACTTTTCATTCTATGATGCCTGGTGCACAATTCTATATATGACATTCTATGCACAATTTTGTGATGACCAATGAAGCACTAATTTTTTGATAAGTGAATTTTTCTCGCTGAGCGAGGTAAATGTAATCAATATTCTTTGTTTTTAATAAATTTTTTTCATAACTGAAACTTTGCTAACTGAGGTTCTACTGTAAATGTGTTTTTGGGGGTGTCCCAATTAGCCCTGCCATGCGGAAATGACAGCCATTTTTGTGGGGGATTGAGGTATGTAAATTACTGACACTTGTCTGCCACTTTTTTGTAAACAAAGTTTTTTAATACAGCAAATATTTTTTCTACTACAGACCTTAGCAGAAGTAACTTTTCAAAATATCATTTTTCACCATTTTTTTCAGGAATTTTTCAAAGCTAGTAAATGTAGTATTTTTGAACTTACTTTATACTACATAGATAGGAAAAATGTTGACCTTTTCACCACTATATTAGTTCCAATTAGTTTTACTACTAAAACAGTTTTACGCCGTGTTGGAGGACTGTCCCGAGTTACCCTGCCCGTCCCAAGTAGCCCCGGTTGACGATACAGTTGCTTTCAGGCGCTCAAGTTAGATTCTGTTTTTCCCCTCATTTCCGCCGATCTTACTCAACTATATATAATAACTTGGAATTGAATTAATTCTTACTAATCTTTGCAATGGAAAATTTGTATCAAATCATTGTACTTGCTTCACCTGACTTTATATTAAAATATTAGTTCTGTTTTGTTTTATATACATGTTAAAAATTGTGTGATTGTTTGCTTGAAGCCTGGTAATGAAATTTTTAGGTGCTATTCAAGTGCATATCTTCAATACCTACCTCTTGGAATATTCACTTGACTTGAAACCATATTTATAGTGCAGGAAAATGAAGTATATGAAAATTGGGTTGGGTATTTTAGGTCATTATCTGTAATTTTATTTATTTATTGGTATATAAAAACTTGGACAAAGTTTTTACAAATTTTTGATATAGGTAGTGCAAAATTCATACACGTTTGCTACTGTTTGGATAAATCTCATGAAAATTTGGAAACCTCTCTGGCAAATCTTGGCCAAATGGTATGCAATTTTTTGACAAATCTTGCACTAATTGTTAGTGAGAAGATCAAATTGACCAAATATTGGTCTGCTGACTACAGTTGAAATGTTCTGAAATTGTTTGTGCTCATATGTTCAAGACCAAATCATACTTAACTCATTGTTAAGTATGATTCATTAAATTTAAGTATTCATTACTAAATGTCACTGAGTTACAGTGTCATTTGT